CGTCTAGTGCTGTACCGCGGGGTGGATCTGCGCGTGGGCGCGGTTTGTCTCGTGGTGGCCGAGGTGCTCGTGGTGGATCTTCGCGAGGAGGATCGGCGCGGGGAGGCATCACGCCGCGTGGAGATCGCGGCTCGACAAGTGCAAGTGGTTATCGTGGTGGACGAGGGTCCACGTCGGCACCTGCTGTCACCAGGTCGAGTTCGCGCATGCCCAACGCGAAGACCATCCGCGAACGCCGTCGAATCTCCTACGCATTTACCGCGAAAGGGGAGTTCCCTGACGTCGCTCATAGGGACGGCTCCTTTGGTTTCACGGAATACGCGTACGCTATGGGGGCATCCCAACCGGATGCTCCACGAACGATTGAAGAGGCAAGGGCCATGCCGGACGGAGAACAGTGGAACGCAGCTGCAGAGCGCGAGATTGCGAGTCTCAAGGAACGTCAAGTTTACAAGCTCGTCCCGCGCACAGCAGTTCCCCCAGGGAGGAAGCGGATAAAGTCCAAATGGGTGTTCAAGCGTAAGGCAGACGGCTCCTTCAAGGGGCGTCTAGTGGCGCAAGGCTGGAACCAAGTGCCTGGACTGGACTGCGGCAGCACCTACGCTCCGGTGTGCAGGTTACAGAGCATTCGGATGTTAGCGTGCATAGTCGTGCAGTTCAACCTGGAGTTGGATCAAATGGACGTGTCTACAGCCTTCTTCTACGCTGACATCCTCGAGAACGTATTCGTCGAACGGCCACCTGGCTTCGAGGTCAAGGACAAGGATGGAGGTGATCTAGTGATGCAGCTACAGAAGAGCCTCTACGGGCTGGCCCAAATCGCCAGCAACTGGTTCCACACCATCGACCCTTTCCTTGTTGAAAACATTTCCGTTCCGCGCAAGTCTGACACTTGCGTCTACCTGTACGACCACGACGATATCTAGTCTGCCTGACGCTCTACGTTGACGATCTCCTTCTAGCCGGTAACAACTCCAACGCCATCTCGATGCTCAAAAAGAAGCTGAAACAAAGGTTCAAGATGACAGACATGGGCGAGGTGAAGCTTGTCTTGGGCATGGAAATTAAGAGGGACCACAACCAAGGTACCCTGACGATTTCCCAGAAAGCGTATACCAAGTCCATCTTAGAGAGGTTCGGGATGTCGGAATGCAAACCGACCAGCACGCCTGGCTATGGTTCGGAGCTCTCCAACAAGCAACCAGAGGACACTCTGCTAGGCGAGGAGGAAACCAGACGTTATCAGGGCATCGTGGGGTGCCTGATGTACATCGCTCAAGTGCTCCGCTACGACATCATGTACGCTACGGGCCAACTGGCCCGCCCAATGGAGAAACCCAGCAAGATCCACATGGTGGCAGCTAAACACACTCTTCGCTATGTGGCCGGAACAACGAATTTCAGAATCACATACAAGAGTGAAGGCTTCAAGCTTGCGACCTTTTCGGACTCCAACTGGGCGAATAACCCGGACAACGGAAAGTCCACCTCTTGCTACTTGACGATGCTAGGAAATACACCGGTGAGTTTGAAGTCGGGGATACAAGGTCCAACTGCCATGTCTACCATGGAGGCAGAGCTGATTGCATCGGCACTAGCCATGAAGGAAGCAGTGCTGTTCTAACATGCTACCTGAGCTGGGGTTCGCTGAGGAGTTNACCCGGACAACGGAAAGTCCACCTCTTGCTACTTGACGATGCTAGGAAATACACCGGTGAGTTTGAAGTCGGGGATACAAGGTCCAACTGCCATGTCTACCATGGAGGCAGAGCTGATTGCATCGGC